ATACACTCAGTTGGAAAAGTACTTGAACATCCAATGATTGTTGTGGCATTATTCACAGTTGCTTAGACATGGAACCAACCAAAATGTCCATGAACAGATGAAAGGATTGAAAAAGTGTGACACATATACACTATGAAATACTACTCAGCCATAAGAAACGAGACCCTGGCATTTTATAGAAAGCGGATAAATATGGAAGACTTACTGCCTACTGAAGCAAGTCAGACTATGAAAGAGAGGCATTGTATGTCCCCACTCAATATATACCAAATGTCTGCACTCTGTGGCAGAAACTGAAAGATCAGAAGCTATAAAAGCATGTAGAACAATTGTGGATATGAAAGTATGAGAGGAGTGTGGGAAATGGGTGAGGGTGAGAAGGAGGGAATCAAGGGGAAAGAGAAAGAAGTGAAATATTTAAGGGGCATAAAACTGGAAAAGTATCTGTTGATAACGGATATAACAATATCTTTAAATGTACTAATACAGTGTATTCATGCTGTGGAAATTAATTTGGCTTGTTGTGATGTTATACAGTGATTGAAGGGGTGTGTGTGTGTGTATGTGTGTTTGTGTATCCAATTAAAACAAAAGTTACCAAACCATTGGGATATGCTCACCACAGCTATGTCTATCGCCACCAAGCACAGAATCAGAAGTCTATGCTTGAGAGACCTCTAAGAGTAAAAGTTGCCCAGAATAGGGTTTATTCTGGAGTAGGCAACTCCTGTTGGTGCCGAGGGGATGTCATTCTGACTAGCTTACAAGACAAAAAGATCATGGCACAAAATAAAGCAATCCTAGCTAAGAGTGGTCTACTGTAGATGAGAGTAATGCTGAAAGAGAGATATGACAGAAGTCCCTCAGGAATCCCAAGATGTAGGCAATTAACACTAAAGATGATAGTATTGGGAAAGACTATATTTATAATAAGTATGTTTTCTTTCTTTTTATATTCACTGACTCAAAAAGATATTTGAACTCCTGTTATATGACAAACACTAGGGATAAAATGAGTTAAATAAATGTGGTTCTTTCATAAATCTCACTATGTGATGAGGTTGGTAGCTATTTAATGTTATTATTATTATTATTATTATATTTCATTGACAGAGGGCATGTGTGCTCGCCAGAGAGAGAGAAAGCACCCTCCAATGAGCCTTGAAAAATATTAACATTTGGAGGTTGGAAAAAAGAAAGTAAACCAAAAGAAAAAAACTGGAAATAACAAGCAGGGAGTTAGAAAATAAATCAGAGGTATGTGCAATGTATCTATCACAGAAGGGAATGGAAGACAGTCCTTCAAGAAGGAGGAAGTGATCGACAGCACTGAATGCTGGTAAGAAATCAGATAAGACGAGGATTGGAAAATGTTCATTTAATAGTGAGATGGAGGTCATTGGTAACTACAAAGAGCTTTTTGAGTGGAATTTTTGTGGTGCTTGATATTGTTGTTTTCTCTCCAGATCAATGAACCTCTTTCTCTCACAATCAATAAACCTATTGCTTTGCTGATTAATGAATTAAACAAGATTTTCAGCATGAAGCAAGTTTTCAAGGAAGAGAGAAGAAACAGGAAATAAGGAAGATGCACTGTAGAATTACTTTAGAAAATGTGTTAGAACTGCAGATAACCTGCATCTAGCCTCCAAAGATCTTCATGGAATACGTATAAAGGGGTAAAGTAACCCGTCTAAGGGGAATAGGTGTCCGTGGTTCTTCTCACAGTGCTCATACCCTTATAAAGTTTTCTCGCAAGAACTGGGCTTGTCTAGCTATTTGGCTTAGGCTAGTGGGATGTGAGCATAAGACAATCAAAGGCTTGAGAAGTGTTTACCTATTGAGACCAGCAGTTAGCATAATGGCTATGTCGCTGGACTCCCATGTAGTCGACAGTGGTTCGAGTCCCGGACCCGGTGGCTTAAACTCACGCCAGGCACATGTGCATGCGTGCCCAAGATCCCGAGAGGAGAATGGAGGAGAAGGGATTGTGGCGTGGCCATCCCCCCTGGGGGGTGATTTCTCACTTTCTGTCTCTCTGTCTCTCTATCTGGTGAACGCATGTGCCCTATGGCAAAAACCTCTCCAAAAAAAAAAGAAGTGCTTACCTATTGGGCCTTGTCATCTGAGACTATTTCTTCTTGAAATTCAGCCACTAATGGGGAGGAAGTCCTCATAGCTATGAGTTGCTCACAAGGAAAAGTGAAATCCTTAGCTGAAAGTTTAGCTGACCTTGCAACCAGCAGTGAGTACCAACTGGAAAGTGAGGTCATTTTGAACACTTCGGACAGCTCAATACCTCTGCTAACCCCCCTCAAGTCAAAACTTCTGGGTCATTTCACCAATTCATGAAAAATAATGGAATATTTTGATTTAAAACATTAAGGTTTGAATGCACTATTCATCAATAGGGACTGAAAAGTCCCCATTGCAGTAAGCTCCCTATGTGATTCTAATGATAGTATTCTGTACATAATATGATGTTTTAGCCCATTTTACTGTTGCCACCATCCTTTACCCTCTTCTTCCTTCTCCTTCTTCATTAGAGTCTTTTCTTTTATTTCTCTTATTTATTTAATTTTACATTCATTCACTGTATATCATTACAGCATATGAAATGAATTTTCCCGTCCAGAATATATTGTCTATCAGCTCACTCAGAGTCTATTCTTTTCAGTTCCCTACCTGGAGGCATTGGAGATGAGAGGATCAAGCAAGAATCTAAAGTCTTCCCTTACTAACTGGCACAATTCTAGGAGCCAGCGTTTGCTCATTTCTTAAGTACAGATGACGACTCTATCACAGGGAAAGAGGTGATAGGTGTTTGGGACACCTGCTTATCTTTTTTCTTTGAAATGCTCAGCACATAGACCCAAGCTATTTCCTTTTGTGTGATAATTTTCATCTTTAGTGCCATCGCAGCCACCTATGCTTAGGAACAATAAGTTTTTCTGTTTTTGTTGTAATTTCTGGTTTATATGCACTGAAGCTGTAAATCACTTTGGATGGTTATCAGTATTTTAACTATGTTAATTCTTCTAATCCAATTGATTTTTTAACACACTTATATAATAAGTTTTTTTTTTAAATCTCTAGAATCTGGGTGGGATATGTATTTGCATTTTGCCTCTTTTATTGTAATTTCTGATTTACATGTAATTGTTTTGAATTTTTATGAGATATAATATGGCTTTTTAATGCACACATAAAGTGTATGATAGTCAAAATAAGGATTATAAGCACATTCACTATCTTCAACATACAATGTTACATTATGTTGTTCCTATTTGAAAATAGCTGCACTTTGGGGGAAGTATATATTACTTTGTCACCAATATTCATTACTATATGGTACATTGTTCCATTATTAGACATTAATAGGATTTCTGGAGGGGTTCAAGTTTTTTTTTTTTTTTTTTCTCAAAACATCATCTACACAAACATGCTATCATATACTAAAGCAATCATTTAAGATGAAGTCAATTGGGGTGGAGGGATGCAGGATAAATGGCCTCCTATTCCCTGTACCATCTCCTGAAGGTTGCAAGCACTGTGGATTTTACATAATGGAAAAATTCTGGCTTTAGAGACACTGAGGAGAAGTTAAAATTCCTATTATGTTTCTAAGCTCCTCTTTTCTGCTTGAACAAGTAACAGCATCACTCACCTATACAAGCTATCAGTAGGAAATTTTGATACTCTCTCCCTTAGGACAAACCTAAAATAAACTGTCAGGAGTCTGTAATGGTACCAGGCTCTCAACTGGAGTCCCCAGGCATTTCTCAGGATGTATAAGGAACTTGTGAAACTCATTGTGTTTCCCTTCTCCTCTGAGCCTCTGGTGACCTGTTATTGTGGCTGATCACTGGTTGTTCTGTTTTGGGATTGTTCATGCAAGTGATTGGAGTTAGAACACAGACTGCAACCTACCCAAGGCAAGGGCTGCTCGGCTGGGAGACACTTGACTTGCATTTGTGGCTGGGCTGGGTATCATGGATGCACAGGAGAGCTCATGGGCCTTGTTCACTAATTAAGATTTTTGGGGAAGTGAAGGAAGGTTTTAGTTTTCTAAAAATCACCAAAGAGGGGTTTTATCAAATCTGCTATCCCCTTATGAATTCACCATTTTATACTATTCATTTGACATATTCTCCTTTATCAGGCAAGTGGCTGACATAGCTGATATGGATCAGAGAAAAAGGGTTCATAAAATCATTTGAGTTTGAACCACTTAAAAACATTGTTTTTGAAGTTCATTCTAAAGATTGGTCACATCTTTTTTTCTCTAATAATCTCCCGTTCCTAAGCAGATTAAGAGGTACTATGATACCAAAATTGTCAAGAAATATAGGTTTCTTCTTTTTGTATTTAGAATTTAGAATTCTAAATGTTTAGGAGAGCCAGAAATCTCTCTTTAATAAGCCTGATTAGTGCAGTTCTATTGCAAGTAGTGATGGAACTATTATCTATCTTACTCTATGTATTTCTTGGGATAATAAAGGAAAATTATTAAAAGCATTTTTTTCTTTTTGCCCACTTACTCTTCAGCCAAAGATAAACAAATCATTAATTCATATAGTACCCACTATGTGTTAACCTTGTCATATGCAGGGGGAGTGGAAGTGAATATGACATGGTCCTTATAAAATAAGCAGGCTATTAGGGAGGATAGACATGTAATAATGGAAGTATATACAAGACAAGTGATAGCTTCAACAGCAGAGTGAGTAACTCTGCCTGAAAGTGTCAGAAATGTCTTCAGAGAGGTGATGACACTTGATCTGAGTTTTTTTTAGCAGGTATTGATATTTTCTGGATGACAGAGATAGAGTTACCCCAATTGGAAAAACATCCCAAGTATCCTTTCTTTCTCTTTATAACCAATGACATGTCTGCATTCCTGGTTCTCAGCTTGGGACTGTGGAAGAACCACCTATGAAGCTGAAACCAGACCAAGCCAGATAAAATCCATAGTGTAGGGTGCATTGTGATGTACTTACCAAGATTTGCCTTTGGGTTGCTGGCAGAGGCTCCTCCATGTGCATTCTTGTGTAGATTACCCAGGATAAAGAATAAAGTATCTTCCCCTACCCAGAGGAGCTAACCTCCCAGGACTGATCAATATGGGGGGTATAAAGGTCCAGTGTCCTTGGCCAAATAAAGATACCTCTGAAAGGTCATCTTGACTTCACAATCTTTGATACTGTGTGTGTGTGGTCTTCATGACTTCATTGCAGCTCATCTTGCTCTGCCCTATCTCTTTCAGAAGTGTTGCACTAAAGAGACTTCCTTAATACACCTCATGCACAGTAATCTGTTTGAATTCATTCTGAAAAAACGCAGCGTATGACACATGTCTTCCTTCCACAGAACTCTGAGTACAGTAGGTCTGATAGCACTGGCAGGCATCGATTTGTAAAGCTCTGCAGGTGATTCTGAAATATATGTCTTTTTTTAAAATAATAATTTAATTTTATTTAAAAGTTAATGAAATTTATTTAAAATTAATAAACTTTGACTTTATTACTATCTTTTTTCCTTTATTTCTATCTTTTTTCCTTTATTTTTTAATTTAATTTTCTTGTATACATTCAATCACATTATTTTTGTCTTACAAAATGTATATTTCAACAGGTGAACATTTCTCCCTAGTACAGTTGATAAAACTGCAAAATATCTTCAACAGATAATACCACATTTATTACTCTCTTTAATGTGACGAGAGAGAGAGAGAAAATGAGAATGCAAGTCACCAGGTCCAGGACTCAAAACATAATCGGCCATGTGGGAGTCTAACACTTTTAACCACCACATCACCTGCTGGCCCCTGATGCATATGTCGTTAACAACCACTAATGAATCTGTTCCAAGTAAAACTGAAAACCTCTTGTAGCACAACTGGGGCAGTCTCCCCCTTTTAGACCCTTCAGATTATAATTTCTGTATACAAGGACTTGGAATCTGCATATTGATCAGATACTTGGGTTCTTTATCTGCACACTGCTGCCTGAAACCACTAAAGCTAATCTCAAACTTTCATAAATGTATTTGTCCTTTCAACAGATAAGCAAGCAATGACCTTCCTCCTGGACCTTAGACTTTCTGCTCCCTGCACCACATGCAGACATGAGTCAAGTGATTTGGTAAGGGAAATGCTAGAGTTACACCCAGAGCTGCTGTTATCCACCCATGCTCAGCATTTAGGTTTTGATTCAGTGACCCCAGGCCATGTGGGAGATGAGGACAGTCCTTTCAAGGAGATTCTTTGGCATCTGAACATTTTTGTTTGGAATCCTTAGTGTTCCTTAGGTCTCTGATCTTGATCATTGCATTTCCCCCTTTGGCAAGCCGTCTATGCCAGAGACAGAGGGACATTGTTAAAGATAACCAAATCCTTTGAAATGGGAGCCTCCAGATATAATCAAGCATGACTCCTGGCAGCTTTTTCAAGCACTTGCTCTGTCTTTCCCTCTAAAAGTTTTACTAATCTCTTTTAAAATTATTTTTAGCAATGTTGCTTCAATAACCTTTCTCTAGCAGGAATTCCATTGTCTAAATGAGTTTCCAAAGTATCATCTTCCTCACATCTTTTCCCACTTTGTCCTAACACACACGTATGCGCACACACATGTGCACACACATACAAAACAAAGGGGCTGCACTGTGACACAACAGAAGAATGTGATGCATTGTAAGGCAATTCCAAATCAGAAGGTCCCCGATTCAAGTCCAGAGCTCTCCCTAAATATACCAGCCATGTGCTTACCGAAGATCCAGAGCTGGCTGAAGGCTGGTATGAATTCTGGTGTCAGGGTTCTGTCTGTCTTTCTCTCTCATGGAAGAAATAAGTAAAATAAACTAAAAAAAAATTTTTTGAAAGTAAAAGAATAAAGGGCCAGCAGATGGTGTAATGACTAGACTAGACTCTCACATGGTTGACCGCTATTCAAGTTCTGGACTTGGTGTCTTGAAAATCAGGCCGGGCACCTGTGTGTGTGCGTGCCCAAGACCCCTGGAGGAGAATGGAGAAAGGATTGCAGCATGGCCATCCTCCCTGAGGAATGATTTCTCACTTTCCCTCTCACTGTCTCTGTCTCTGTTTCTGCCAAGTGCATGTGCCCAATGACAAAAACCTCTTCAAAAAAAAGGAAAATAACAAAGGGAAAAACAAAACAAAAACAAAACCTATTGCTTCTTCATGCTCTCTTCTCCTCATGTGAGAGAGGGTAGAAAAAAAGGCAGGGTGGTTCAGTTATTAGGCAAGACCCTGCTAAAATCAAAGTCCCTGGGCTTAAATCCTGTTTCTGTTGATTATCAGCTTAGAAACAGGAGTAAGTTTTAATAAATGCTAGTTATCATTTTCACGAATGTGCTCAAGTGACAACCATGTTGGTACCTTACCTCACAACTCTTGGTTCTGTTTTTATCTTTCAGAATTGATTGTAAATAATACTCATGAAGTTAGTGAGAAAAGTTGGTCAGAGTAAATTGGATCATAGATACTTTTTTGAAAGGCCAGCAGAAGCATGGAGGGTGAATATACTCACCTGGATGGGCCCAAGAATATGTCAAGATTAAAAGATTTTAAACCACAAAACTCAGATCTTACTTTCATGGAGACAACTTTTTTTACTCAAAGCAAAATAGATCATTATAGGTTTGAATCTTGTTTTGCAAAATTACCTAGTTTGTTGTGGGCAAGTGATTTAACTTTTCGGAACCTAACTTTTATCTTTAAATTCAAATCATCCACTCCTCACTGGATAGGGGTAATGGCAAATGGCAGCGTATGACAGCCCCGGCCACACAGTCATTAATTGTGCATTAGATAAACCCAGTGGCTATTAAGATGGAGGGAGTGGAAAATGCAGCAAATAGCAGAGTATACCACCTGTGACTGCCAGGGAGGGAGGCCTTCCTGCTGGGCCTGTGTGAGCCATGGCGTTACAAAACCAGCATGGTTTATTTTACTCTTCTCTGTTTTGATACTCCCAGCAGTGGCTCCCTCAGGAGTAAATACTGATGGCTAAGAAATATATTTGACAAGCTGGAAGTCAGTGACAGCCACTCTCCCACACAGCAGGCAGTTCCCAAAACCGGCAACTTATTCCCCAGGCCACGGTCTCTGGAGGGAATCGTAGCAGATCTCATTTTTAAAAGGTAAATTTCTAGCTGCTCACCCCAGCTTTGTATTCCACACACCACTGGGCTTTAATGAACACAAGAAACCAGCCTCCAGGTCTCCTGTCCAGGACTCATTAAACAGACCTGGATAGACACCAAAAGATGGTTTTTTGCCTCCAGATTTTTGTCCTACTGAGTAACATATATCCCTAAGGTGTAAGCTCATTTTTCTTCTCCTAGATAACCTTTTACCTTCATCTTCAAAGATACAAGTGTAAAGAGAAATAATTAACATATGTAACAATAAAAACAAGGGATGTTTACTAAGCATGTGCTTTTCGTCAAGACCTTTATGTTTTATCTTTAACATTCATAAGAATAACAACTTAATATAGATAGCCTATTTCCAATTTTACAAACAAGGGTGCCATAAGTAGACTCGGAATATGTAGTGACTTTTTCTTTACCACACAGCTAGTAAGTAGTCGGCTGGAATTCAAAGGATTTTCTGCCTTGTTCTTTCCATCACATCATATTGGTCTTCCCTGGAAATCATTTAGCCGGATGATGACAATAGACAGTAAAGAGAGATAATGTTATTTCTTAGTTTGAAGTAGCCCAAGAGTCTCTCTGCTCATTTTACAGCGAGGCTGAGTACTTCTGCCCATAGGCTTCCTGAGAATCAAACAGCAAATACAACCATTGCCTAAGGACCATGCAAGGCATAGTCTTTTGTTTCTTTGGTTATAAATTGATTCAGAGAGATTCAATCATGAAAAGGTTGCCTTATTTGACTCTTGGAAACACAGACTTTAAACATTTTATTTTCTGGTATTGCATGAATATTTTATTTATTTATTTTAAAGAATTATTTATTGAATTTTACTTATTTTTAAGTATTATATTAAATTTGCTATAGAGCATTTGTGCTCACCAGAGAGAGAGAGGGAAAGTGAGAAAGCAAGCCACCAGGACCAGACCTTGACCTGTGATCAAATGTGTGGTAGTCCAGGGCCTTAACCACTACACTATCTGCTGACATTGCGTGAATATTTTAAGCCAAATCTTTTTTTTTACTTTTTTTTTGTTTGTTTGAGAGGTTTTTGCTATAGGGTGCATGTACTCGCCAGAAAGACAGAAAGAGACAGAGAGACAGAAAGCGAGAAATCACCCCCCCAAGGGGGATGGCCATGCTGCAATCCCTTTTCTTTCATTCTCCTCTCAGGATCTTGAGCACGTACGCACATGCACCTCGCGTTAGTTTAAGCCACCAGGTCCGGGACTTGAACCACGGCAGCTACATGGGAGTCCAGCAACATAGCCATTATGCTAATTACTGGCCCCTCCTCTCGGGATCTTGGGCATGCCTGCACATGCAATTCAATCATGAAAACATTGAGTTTAAATCACCGGGTCCGGGACTCAAACTGCATTCAACTACATGGGAGTTGGGCGACAGAGCCATTACACCAACCGTTGGTCCCTTAAGCCAAATATTTATTGATCATTTACTGCATGTCAGTTTCCATTATAGTACTTGAGGCATACCACTGAATAAAATAGATAACAATGTCTAGTATCAATTAGCTTATTTTGTCTGATGCTCAAAAAGCCTCAAATCAGGGAATTTTAGGGTAGAGGATGAAGTAGCTATTACTCTTGAGGTCCAATTTTCAATGTATAAGCATAGCAAACGTGTTCTATATTAACAAATTTCTGAGTGTCATGGAAGTCGGTATCTTCAAAACCTCTGAAAATGGAGCTTTTTGGTCCAGCCATGGTAGCATGGCAGTAGTGCAACATTCTGCAATGCTGATGTCCTACAGAAGATCAGAGTTGGGTTCCCAGTTTGATTTCCACACGTCAGGTGCATACTTGAATGTCGATGATTCTGAATGGCTGGGAGAGTCCAGAGGGAGGACTTTGGTGTGAGACCGTATTAAGGATGCTTGCTTTTC